CGGGCCTAGACCCTTCTTCTTCCTGCTCCTCTGATGCTGCTTGGCCTGCTGTGTTCATCCAGCTCTACACCTTGTTATGTCTGGAGTTTCAAGGGTTCTGTTGTGGCCACCAAAGTCAGGCCCGAGGCCCTGTGCATTTGCAAAGAGGAAGGTGATGCCTGTTTTAAAGCCCCCGACAACCCGTTCAGGAAACTGAAGCACGGGAGGCAGTGGTGATACGGATAGAGGGAAGGGAGAGCCGGTTGGGAACAGCTTCCCTGAGCATAGGTCACCAAAGTGAAGCCATGTATCAGTGACATCACCTCCCTGCCGCACACTTCTCCTGTAGGCCATGATTGGTCTCCCCACTCCAACACCTCCTCCTGCACTCTCCCCAACATTCCCTCCTGTAACCCCTTCACCCCCATCACCCCTTCTCTACTGCCACCCTTCCCACACTGAAGGAAAAACCAGCACAATTTGCAAATAGAAATCCCTACAGTATGGAAGCAGGCTATTTGGTCCATCAAGTCTGCACTGACCCTCGAAGCAGCATCCAACCCAGAACCAACCCCACACCATATCCCATAATCCTGCATTTCCCATGGCTAATCTACATAACCTGCACTTCCCAGGACACTATGGGCAACTTAGAGTGGCCAACACAACTAACTTGCACATCTTTGGACTGTGGGAGGAAACCGGAGCACCTGGAAAAACCCACGCAGACACAGGGAGAATGTGCAAACTCCACACAGACAGTCACCCAAGGGTGGAATTGAACTCGGTCCTGGCGCTGTGAGGCAGCAGTGCTAACTAACTACTGAGCCACTGTGCCACCCTGTGCTAGTCACCTACTGATAATGACACATACTGGTCTGACCACCTCAGAACAGTACGATCAGTATATTTACTTCCAAGTATTACTGGTTTTTCCCTCTGGGTGGCCCCCACCCTCCATATCCCTCACCCCCAACTTCCTCCTCTCCCTATTGCCTCTCCACCTCCCATTTCGTCTTCTGTGCCCCAACATCGCCATTCCCGCTCCTCGGTGTATCCCCCAATCCTCCTGAACCCACTTCTCTCCCCTACATCCCCTTTTACCCACTACACTCATCCAAGGCTTTTGCCAATAAATTCCCTCCACACTGATTCAGAGTGGTAGCAGTGTGCACCCTTTTGCCAGATGCAGTGTAACGACTCACTTAAGCTCCTTCGACAGCATCTTCCAAACTCGTGAGGCTCTACCATCTGGAAGGACAAGGGCAGCAGAACCATGGGAACATCAGCCCTCTATCCCCCCAGCCGCTCATCATCCTGAATTGGAAATAGATGGCTGTTCCTTCAATGGTGCCGGGTAAAAATCCCAGAACTCACTCCGTTCTAGTGCTGTGGGTGTCACTACAACCTACAGACTGCAGTGGTTCAAGATGGCAGCTCACAGACACCTTCTCCCCACAATCCACATGCAGACTCCAATGGTGAGAGGTTAAAATGTGCGACATTTCAGATACGAGACATGAACATGATGAACATGCCTTCCCTCTCGGTGGGGCTGGGGGGGTGGCTGTGTAAGGACCTGCAGCCAACATTTTGAAGAGGCATCAGGGAGATTTCCCCAGTGTTGATGGTCCTCACTTAATACGTGCTACATACATGGTCAGAGGCAGGGTACCCTTAACACTGAATTTTACACCGAAAACTGCAACTTTCAGCCCCTGGATAGATCTGCACTCAGTTAAAACCGGAAGTTTAAATTAGTATTCTGAAGTAACTACAAACATTCAGAGGTTTATATTTTAATTAGGTTGAAGTCTGAGACTCAAGTAGAATCAACCTGAAACCTACTCATTATTCATTTAAAAACAACTATTCATTATATCAATGGTGAGATTGGTTTGTGTTTGTACAGAGACTGTAGTGAATGCATCAGAACTGACGTAGTGATTGTAACAAGGTCAGCAGGTGAATGAATTCATAGAAAATGAATTCCCAAATTGGGACAGTTAATCTGGTCCAATCAGAGAGGCTTGGCTGACAGATATAAACAGGAGTGGCAGGAATTCTAGTCATTCGGATAGCTGGCTCTGTGGGAGTTGGGTTGGTGTTGAGGACTCGCCATATGGGAAATAAAGGGTGACTCGGTACCAGTCTCTGTGGAATTATTTCAGTTGAGTTTGACAAACTGATCTATTGGTCTGCATTGATTCCCCTATCGATTACAGTCACGTAGCAGTAAGGAGTCCAGGGCACACCCTTGATCTGAGTTACTTCAATCACCTTCAGCAGGGAAGATCCCAGGGAGATTGTAATGGTCCTCGACCCACTGAATAGAGAAGAGGTTAACAAAAAGCAAATGTGATCACTAACCAGCGACTCAAACTAAATTGCTACGAGTCTGGTGTGAGGGTGACGTTGAGCTTGAAGCACAGTTTAATTAAGTCAGGGCCTTTAGGATTGAAAGGGAGAATATTGGAAAATTGGAAAAGAATTGTGTAGTACGTTCAAACAAAATACATGGTGGAGCTCCCTCTTTGCAAGAATATGTTCTCTGTTTGTATAACACCTTCTAATTTCTCCCTGTGTTTCTCTACAAATCCCCTCCTCATTCTGGGGTACAATTCAAAGGATATGGCCCTCACTTTTGGGAACCTTGGATCAAATAGTTATCATTCATATGTATGAGCCCTGGCAGTGAGGTTCGATGAGCTGCCCCCCACAATGGGAATGGGGAGGGATGGTGGGAGGGGTGTAGAAGCAGGGCAGAAACTGAAAACGTCTGGCTCTACTCCAGCTCCTCTCAACTTAAAGAGACAGCTTCGTCGATGACTGGGACCCTTGTGTTTAGCGCAGTTACTCACTGGGGGAATCTGAGAATGTCTGACACAGCAATATTCAAATTCCATTTGCACTAGGCTAGCACAACAAATATCAAAGGAGGTGGATGGCAAAAAATATCTAAGCAAAGCATATTTCTCCAAGAAGAAAATTATTGAAGGCTTGCAAAAAGTGCCTACTCAGAGCTTATGTGATAAATAAAACCAGCAAGTCCGAGCATACCTGGTCTGACCGAATGTTTCAGATTGATCAGCACCTTCGGTGGTCTGTGATATCATTAGTTCAGTGTAGGTTGAGAATTGTAGTTACATTATACCTCACTGGGGCAGTCTGCTGGAAATCAAACCTTGATATTCCTGGAGTCGAGACTTAAAAATCCTAAGTCTCAAAGTATACAAAGTGCCCAATTTACATGCCTGATAGACTCAGGTTAATGGAAAACACTGACCATGTTTTTATACTTAAATAGGACTGCTTTTTTTCTTTACAAAAACATAGATTCTAGCCTCAGGTAAACAACTATGAGCTGTCAACGGAAAATTCGACTGGTTATAAAGGGCAGAAGGCTTAGGATCAAAGTCACAATTCACACAATCATTCATAAAACATAAGGAATCCGGTCAGTCAGAAAGGAAATCCATTCAAACTCATTAACACCCTCTCCTAAACATCTCACCCTGCCTGACCTGCAAAAGAAAATGGTGTTATGGTGGAGGGAAAAATAGAATGGGCAAACAGTTCAATTGCCCCAGTCTGTAAGGTTCACTGCCAGGATTTTTTGTTGTTCAATCTCTCATCTCCAGGCTGTTTTCACTTCTCCGTGGTAGGCACAGGTAATTTTAAAATTTTAATGGGATGTGGGTGTCGCTACTGCTTAACCCTTATCACCAAGAGAGCAGTTACAAGTCAAATATATTGTTCTGGATCTGAAGTCACATGTAGGCCAGACCAGGTAAGGATGGTAGATTTCCTTCACTAAAGGGCATTAATGAATCAGATTGGTTTTTACAACAATTGGCTAAGGTTCAATGGTCACCATTGAGCTAGCTTTTTAATTCATCATTTTTTTATTGAATTCAAATTTCACCAATGGCCATGATGCAGTTTGAATCCCTGTCCCTAGAACATTAGCCTAGGCTTCTGGATTAACAATGCACCACAGCCTCCCCTATTGGACTGATACGCTGCAAACTCTCTTAATTACTGGTAAAAGATCACAGCTTGCAGCTTTCTTCAGGTTTCATGCGTTTTACTGGAGAGAAAGACACACCTTCTGCGCCTTGCTGCAGCTCAAAGGCTTCTGCCAGCATCATTCACACCCACAAGCTGTTCAGCTGCCCAGGCGCCAATCAGATCATTGTTGTCAGGCGGATGGCTTTTGGCATCCACAATTTGTCACAATTCCACAAACCAATAAGCGACCCTGTTGTTAGTGGAATCTCACCTTGTACATGCTCTGGTGCTGCTCTGACTAGAAAACAGCCATTGGTCCATTGCTTAAACGTTGTGAATCAGCAGGTTAGGGCATACCCTGGATTGACCAGTTGACTCAGATTATTCAGCACCTTTGGAGGTCGATTAGTTAAGGGTAGCTTGAGGGATGTGATTACTATTACACCTCGCTATTACTCTATCCCTGTGGGAGTCAGGTAGCTCGCTGTTAAAAATCCTTGGTTTTTAAAATGACCCTTTTCCCCATTCAGATCAAAATCAAATACAAGAGAAAAATGAAAAGATGTTGTCTTCACGTTACTTACTGGGTTGTCGGGACGAAGCTTCTTGGACGGTGGTCCTCCATCCTCTGGGTGAAGCATATAATACAGGCGCACTTTGTTCGCATGCTTCTTGCTCTGGGAAAATAAGGAAGGGCAGAAGGCTTAGGATCAAAGTCACAATTTACACAATCATTATTAAAACATAAGGAATCCAGTCAGTGAGAAAGGAAACCCATTCAAATCCATTAACCCTGCCCCATCCACTGACACTGCAATCTGAAATTTAGAACAGCAGCAGGCCATTCGGCCCTTTGGACCTGCTTCACTGTTCAATAATTTCATGGCTGAGCTGATTGCTCCATATTCCTGCCTACTTCAATAACCTCTCGCTCACTTTCTTATCAAGAATCCAAGTACTCCTGCCTTAAAGTCATAGAGACGTAGAGATGTACAGCACGGAAACAGACCCTCTGGCCCAAATAATCCGTGTCGACCAGATATCCTAATTTAATCTAGTCCCATTTGTCAGCATTTGGCTCATATTCCTCTAAATCCTTCCTATTCATAGAATTGTATGAACCTCCACCACTTCCTCATACTAGACTCCACCACTTCCTCTGGCAGCTCGTTCTATACACGTACCATCCTCTGCGTGAAAAAGTTGCCCCTTAGGTCCCTTTTATGTCTTTCCCTTCTCACTTCAAACCTTTGCCTCTAGTTTTGGACTCCCCCATCCCAGGGAAAAGACCCCACCCATTTACCCTATCCATGCCCTTCCTGACTTTATAAACCTCTAAAGGTCACCCCCTCAGCCTCCGACACGATATCTGGTCAGCATGGACAAGTGGGACCGATGGTTCTGTTTCTGTACGTATATCTCTATGACTCTGTGACTCTGTGACTTCCTCTGGCAGCTCATTCCATACATGCACCACCCTCTGCATGAAAAAGTTGCCCCTCAGATCCCTTTTAAATCTTTCCCCTCTCACCTTAAACCTATGCCCTTTAGTTTTAGACTCCCCTACTCTGGGAAAAAGACCGTAGCTATTCACCCTATCCATGCCCTTCATAATTTTTAAACCTCTATAAGGTCATCCCCTCTGCCTCCGACGTTCCAGGGAAAACAGCCCCAGATTAAAGAGGTTCAAAGATCCTGCTTTGACCAGCTTTTTAAGTTGTGGAGAGGATGCTTCCATTTGTGGAAGAATCTAAAACTATGAGTCCCTGTTTAAAAAGAAGGAACTCACCCATTTAAGACAGAGATGAAATCTTCTTATTCTCAAGAGGTGGTGGAAACAGAGTCTTCCACTCATTTTTGCTCTGCCCAAGATCACAACAAGTTACAGAGCATTGTGAACTCAGCCCAGGCCATCACGCAAACCAGCCTTCCATCCATTAGCTCTGTATAACTTCCCGCTGCCTCGGAAAAGGAGCCAACATAATCAAAGACACCTCCCACCCCGGTTATACTCTCTTACACCATCTTCCATTGGACAGAAGATAAAGAAGTTTGAAAACATGTACCCAACAGATTCAAGAACATGATAACCTCGCTGTTTTCGGACTGATGAACAGACCTCTCATATATTAAAATTAATCTTTCTCTGCACCTTCTCTGTAGCTGTAACACTATATTCTACATTCTGGTCTATTACCCTGATGTGCTTATATAAGGTATGATTTGTCTGGATAGTACGCAAAACAATACTTTTCACTGTAACCCAGTACATGTGACAATAATAAATCAAATCAAAATTTTGAAAAGGAAGCAGATAGATTCTTGATTAGCAAGGGTGGAGGCGGGGTAAGGTTATTGACAAATGTTGAATAATCAGATCGGGCACAACCTTATTGATTAGCTGAGCGGCTTTGAGGGGCAGAAGGGCGTACACATGTTCCCAATTCATATATATGCATGTCCTTGCATTGCAACTGTGTGCTGAGTGTCAGGAGTCACATATAGGCCAGTAATGGATGACACAGTGAACATTACGTGCCAAGGCATTTTAAAACTGTGACTTTTTTTTTGCAGAATCTCCTAAAGGCACAATAAGAATCCTCTAAGTAAATATCAAAAGATTTAGAGTGAGTTTTGTCAGAGCCGAATTTTTTCAGGGAGACTGACACAGGGGTTACAATTGAGTCCTGGGCCCACACTCTGTGTGACCCTGCTGATACCCAGCTCTACTAACAGTAAAATGCCCTGATGGTGGGACTGCATTCAGGAGATGATCCAATGTGGGTCCTGGTGATTTCACTGCCATCACAGAATCCCTACAGTGTGGAAACAGGCCCTTCGGCCCAACAAGACCACACCGACCCTCAGACCATCCCATTCAGACCCACCCCCCTAAGCTACACATCCCTGAACACTATGGGCAATTTTGCATGGCCAATCCCCTAACCTGCACATCTTGGGACTGTGGGAGGAAACCAGAGCACCCGGAGGAAACCCACACAGACATGGGGAGAATGTGCAAACCCCACACAAACCGTCACCCGAGGGTGGAATCGAACCTGGGTTCCTGGCGCTCTGAGGCAGCAGCACTAACCACTGAGCCACCGTGCCGCCCAATCATACCTCTCACTCACTTTCCTGTCAGTCAGTAAAATCCAGGCCAATAAAATATTGGGATATCACAGTGAATTTTTAACTGGACTATTATAGAGAAAAAATAGGAGATTAACACCAGACAATAGAGATAACAGAGTTGGACGAGAGAACAGATAATAGTGCAGGCACGATAGGCTGAATGGCCTCTTTCTTCATCACAATAAATCTGTGATTTTATAGTGACTGGTTCAGCCCATTTAATAGGTGACATAAATCTAGATATAGATCCAAGAATCTTTCTACAATAAGTGGAAAATGTCAGGAAAATGCTTAAGTTGGTTCTTCGAAACACACTTTTTGTGTGTCATGAATTTACAAAAATAAAAATGATTCTTGTGGAACACTGTATTTGCAGCTGAAATCTATAAGGGTGTAAATCCTTTCATGTTACCCTGGAAACAGTGAGATATATTGACCTCACGACATAAGCATTATGAACTGCAAGGAATGGCCTGTCATAGTTGGCTAATGGTGCAATGAATAAATTATTTACAGCATATTATCCGAGACTTCTGAGAAGCAGAGCTCAAAGCTACGGTAGCAGTTCCACTGTGGATGTCTGGCCAGTTACACAGACAGCCAATTCTCCATCACCTACTGACTGCGTGAAGTTGAACAGCAAAACCAGACAGACCTCTTATTGAGACAACAAGGTGCAGAGCTGGATGAACACAGCAGGCCGAGCAGCATCATAGGAGCAGGAAGGCTGACGTTTCGGGCCTAGACCCTTCACCTCTTATTGCATCACTTCAACTGCTTGAGGTGAAAGGCAAAAGGTTGTGAGCTCAAGCCCCACCTTAGAGAATTGACCACACAAGCCCAGTGCTTGGTACAGGGCAGTGGGAATGCTGCACTGTTAAACATGACGCAGCGTTAAATTGGATGCCTGTTTGCCCCATCAGCTAGATGCAAAAGATGCCACCACCTGAAGAAGAGTAGGGATTTTTATACCTCAACCAACATTGCCAGAAAAGACGTCAACTGTCATTTTGGAGGAGATGAGTGTGTATAAATTGGCAGGTGTGTCTCCACATTACATCAATGAGCTCACTTCAAAGAGGTGCTCACTTTAGCTTTCCGATTCCCGAAGGGAATGTTCACCCACCAGTCCCATGTTCCCCCATTGCCCATTGTTTATAACACACTGGTCTGTCCCGACTCTGGGTGCGGAGTGGGCAATGTTGGTGGGGAAGTATTTAAATTGCAATGATCTCCCAGGCTGTCAGCAGAAACGCCAAGGTGACCTAGGTTTTAGTCTGGAAAACTCCGAGCGTTTCCCCAACCCTCCATTGAACAAGGCAAAGGGAATCCCCTTTGCGAAGTGACTGCCATCTGCTGGGCCACTGGCAGCATTACAGTGGAGGAATGAGAGTCGATCCATTCAACATAAGAGCGAACCCTCAACCTACATTTATGCAGCATGCTGAATGCCATAAAATGTTCCTCAGTACTCCACAGGGGCGATACAACATAAAATTAGACACCGAGCCACCTAAGATGAGCAAAGCTTGGTCAAAGAGGTAGGTTTTGAGGAGAGCATTAAGTGAAGGTGGCTTGGTAGCTAGCATTGCTGCCTCACAGTACCAGGGACCTGGGTTCAATTCCACCTTTGACTGACTGTCGGTGTGCAATTTGCATGCTCTCCCTGTAGGTTTCCTCCAGGTGCTCTGGTTTCCTTCCACAGTCCAAGGGCGTGTAGGTTAGGATGGATTGGCCGTGGTAAATTGCCCTGTAGTGTCCAGGGATTTGGTGGATTGGACTGTGTGGGAAATGCAGGTGATCTGGGTGAGCTGCTGTTAGGAAGGTTGGTGTGGGCTGAATGGCCTGCTCCTACACTGTAGGGATCCTGTGAAATCGGGAGAGAATGGTATTGAGGTGAAGTTTCACGTTGTAATTCTAGAATTTTGTGGCACCGCTGCCAATGGTGGAGCAATTAATATGAGGGATGCTCAATGAGCCAGAGTTAAACCTCCATTTATTCTCAGCTCCCTTCCAGGCCTCCCTGTTTTGGTAATGTTGCTGCTTCCCTTTCTGACCCACTTTGAAATTTCCTCCTTTTTCCCTTTCCTGAAACTTGTCGCTCTGATTATGTCTGGGTTCCATGACCTTTACCTTTCAACCAGCATCACTAGAAACCATGACAGTACAGTCAGAGGGAGTTTGCTGTACACCGACTGGCATTCCAGTGGTCACCATATTTCAGAGGTGCTTTGGGAAGTCTTGAGGCGGAAGGGCTATGTTTCTGGATTGCCTGGATTGCACTAATTTATCACAGAATGGAGTCAGGCTTGAAATAACTCCACAGAGGCTGGTATCCCATCACCAAGTGACCCTTTATTTACACAAGAACAGTCCTTGCCTTTAGTACTACCTCATTGAGGGTCAGCTCCCAGAGTGTCGGCATCTCTGACACTCCCCTTTCTCTGTCAGCCAGGGTTCCCTGATGGTACCAGATTCACTCAATGTGCAAGTGATTAGTTGGATGGTAATACTCCATTCCCCCAACAACCGGCTAGCTCCA